AAACCATTATACCCTGATTTCCCATTTTCAATGGGTTCAGGGTATAAAAAGGCTCTAGTCGAGACTGCTTGACTAGGAGATACCCTGATATATATATATATGACTGCCTTGTTTAAGAGCTTATCTAGTTTATGTAATAGAAGCATGCATGTGTATGTATGTACAAAAGTATATTTAACTACCATTTATGTCATTGCCAAGGACATTGAAACTGTTCGATAATAATAATGTCAGATTGTTTTTTTTTCTATAGCCGCTGAATGGTTCGAGCGATAGTCCCTTCAAAAATTGAAAAGGACAAATTTAAATCTCGCCTTGCAACGTTTTTCAATTAGTTAGTCTCTTAAGCAAGAAATATCGAACTCTTCGACTCAATTGATTGATTTACAGGAAGCATGCACATTCAATAATGATTTGCTACGTTGCCGCACTTCAGACAGCACTTGGCAAGTAACGGTAATAACTTGATGCTTTGTGGACATGTGTAACGAAATTAAATGAACCCTAATTAACTTAATACATTGTTTATGAGCGCCCATGTGAAATGTGCGATTGCCATGGGTTAAATACGCACACGTTCATGCAAACACACTATTACACACACACGTACGTTTATGTACAGTGGGTGCTCAGAGAACTTGAAACCTAATCAAAAACTTTGTTCCATTACCATACCATTCCCTGTTTGCTCAAATAATCCAATTAGCTCTCACACGGCAAAAATTAAAAAAATAGAATAAAACATAAACGAAAATTATAAGCAACACGTAGGCAGAGAGAAATTATGTATGAGAAGTTGCGATTCTATTTGTAGGTGTGATTGTTTGAAGCTGGTTACACTTCAAAAACATTTTTTTTTGCACAAATGAAAAAAAGAAGACAAAAAGTCAAGAGCAGCAGCAACATTGTACACAATACCAACGCTGCGACGCTTTTGGCACACAAATCTCAATTTAAAACAATCAAATGGAATGAAACAACATAAAGCAAATAATAAAAAAATCACAAGAACAACAACAGAAACAACGGCAGCAACAGAAAACGCAAAACTGTAAACAAACGAAATATATACAACTACATGCACACAGTCAAGTGATGGCGTATTCACATGCACGGCGACTGCCGATGTCGCAATACACACAGTCTCACTTACTCACTTACACTAATGCACAGCTGCTAGCCTGACTGCCTACCTCCCGATGTTTATTCACCACACTCGGAGCGTTGGTCTTGTCGAAATGTCCCACCGTCGCGACGGTCGTCATGTCGTTCATGCTTGTCAGTCGTTTGGTCGGTTAGTCGGTTGGTTGGTCGGGAGGTCGTTTCGTCGTGTTCATGCGTTCCGCCACAATTGTCTACAACGTAACGCAACGCCTTGGCAATGAAACGTTTCAGTTTCTGCTAAAACGCGAATGTGTGAGGTTCGTCGGAACTGGATGGCGGCATTAGTTCGACATATTTTTGTTCACCACAATAACGAACGCCAAAGCAGCTGTAAAAAGACCGTCGGCAAAACGAACATGAAGCAGCAGAGCATTAGCCGTGCGTAACAAAGTGACTAAATAAATATCTAAATAGCCGGCCGTAGGGCTAATAAAAGGGCTAATAAAAGTAAATAAACAACAGCTAAAATTCGCAGTCGCATATACACTCAGTAAGTGTAAGTATATATATATATATATATATATATATATATATATATATATATATATATATATATCACA